TATGACTTATAATCATGAGTCAAGTAAAAACTATTTCCTCGCTAAGTCACATTCGTGACAACTTCATTGTAGCTGAGATCAAGTAAGTGGCAAGCCATTTTCTTTGCTGGAGTGGCATAGCATAATTGGACTTTATCCAGCTACTCAATTGGCCAACTGATATCTTTTCACTACATTTCACTAGATAATGACAGACACTACTTAACTTTTGTAGATGATATTCATAATTATCATCCTAGTTATTACTATTAGACTATCTGTATTTCTTATTCAAATCGAGATGTACATACCTTTACCTCCCTCATCTCATCAGCACTCATCTTATCAGAGTATGCATCACTTGAGTAACCTGACTCTGAAGCATCTTGCTCACTCTTAGTACATTCTGAGTCTAGATGATATACTTTGTCTCTAACTTTGGGAAACTTACTATCACTTTCATTATTTAAATCCTTATTATTTGAATATGACATTATAACAAATTTGAAGTTGTTAAGAGAGATTTATGTGAGAATTGAAAGTACAAATTGAAACAAATTGAGAACTGTAAAATATTGTAATAGTAAGATGATGGGTGAGTATTATAGAGCTAGTCATGTTCTATATGCATTATATTTCAGGACTTAGGAATTTGGAATGGGTTTTGTACTCTCATGTATTGCTTATTCATCATCAGGATTTAAGAGCTACTTCACGCAACACATTTTTACAGAAAAAGTATCTTGACTTTAATAACAAGTAGCACATGAACTAAGTGCTCAATTGATTTAAAAAAAGGTTCTACCTGTAGCCAGAGAGATCTAGTATTTTTCTATAGAAAAAAATCATTTTTGAAATATTTCATATTTTTCTACATAAAACATGCTACAGAGGTCGTTAGAGCTTCTAGAATATTTTCTGAGCTATTAGGAGTATGCTCTAAACGTCTATTTTGGTGGCTATAGTATAATAAAATTTTAAGAGTTGAATGCCCATATGCTGGTTCTAATAAAACCACACTCATATTATTATCATACTATGAGAATTCCATTTGTAACTTGTAACCCTTCTATAATTCTAGAAACTAGGATTAAGAGTGTGGAGGAGTCAATAGTTCAAACCTCCATTTGCCTATTATCAGGATGCTGAGGAAGATGTAGTGTAGGATGTTGGATAGGTGAGGTTTATTTTTTCATCTTCTTTTCCATAGTTCATATATAAATTCACAGCTATTACTTATAAACCGACTGCACCATATTCTATCTCTTAAATTACCAAGGCATCTCCCTTGTTTCCAACACTCTACTAGCTCTAGCTCTTCTCGCCCCCACGTCCATTGGCCCCTGAAATTATGAGAGGGTTTACTGTCCCAGTATTCTGCCTCATCATGCAATTAACCGCCTGTGCATTAGCGAAAAACTTTGTTTATTGTACCTTGTATACATGAAATAATAAATATAAGTTGAACGGAAGGAATCCTAATGAGCAGTCGATCCACTTCTTCACCCCCGTGTCCAGTCAAACGAATCGGAGGTGTATCATAAATTATCACTCGATATTATAGGTTACAAATGTGTTGTAATATGACTTCCAAATATGCATTGGTTTTGTCATTGACTATGACAGAATATTTTAATATGGATTCATTATGCAATTGAGCTCATTGTCCAGTTGACTACTACAGAGTTTCCTTGGAAACTTTATCAGAGTACTAGTCTGGTTATCACACTCAGGTTTCCTTTCTTTTTACCGCTCCGCTATGTTGTATTGTTCATTGCTCTTGTTTTTTTCCTTTTCTCTCGCATGGGTATATGTCATAGGTGGTGGTAGAGCGCTCTCAAGTAGCATAAATAGGGCCCTATAGCCCTCTAGTAGAGTATCAAACAAGCAAGAAGTACAACTTCGATCAAGAATTACAACAAAATAGTTGCCGAGTAATCTCTGCTCTAGTCAACCGCGTAATGAGCTCAATCGCTTAATGAACCCATATCAAAATATTATGTCGTAGTCAATGACAAAACCAATGCATATTTGGAAGTCATATTACAACAAAATTCTCCCAACGCCCCCCTCAGCGGTATCTTGGGGTCGTGTAAAGACTCCCGGAATGGGGTTTAGCCTCCCAACTAGACGCCCTCCGTGTATCACTTCCTAGAGACCTTAAATCAGCAGACAAGACACAACACCCCGAAGTAGCTATTGACCTTAGCGTGACCACCCGGGCTCAGGTTCAAGAGGAAAAAGCAAACGCCGGCTCTCACTACTCTGGGATTAGTGGCCCCCAACTATCTTCGAGGTTAGCATATCGAAATTGTCGTGACTATCTAGTTGGGGAATTCTGGAGAGCGTCCTTGCTGATATTGCGTGCGCCATCGTGAGATGGGTTCGGGATACTATGGATGAAATCCCTGCGAGTAACTCATTGACTCGGGGATCAGATTCGATTCTCCTAGGTACTGGGCCCATGTAATAGGTGGAGCATCCACTACGAGTTGTTTGAGCGAAGTAGGTGCTAGACTATGGTATCATAGGTTTGCCCCATTCGGCGTTGGATTGGTTTTGTTTTTCGGTGACGAAGTCGATATTTACTTGTCTAATGAGTTACCCGCCGGGAGTGGCGGTCATGAAATTGTTCGAATCTGGCATAGAACAATAGTAGTTATGGAAGCATGTTTAACTATAATGAATTCGTGTTTACCTGTGTCATACCGCGGAAGAATATTTCATGTTAGTCACCTTAGTTATCTTAATTATTGTATGCTTAGCTTGTACTAGTACTGTACACTAAGTCTGTATGATTCGCGGTTGTGTGGTGACTCTAAGACCCGCAAAAAAGATACGGTACTCTATTTAGCGAAGAACCAAGAGCCTTTTTCAAGCTCATTGTCTTTGGTCACTCGCAAAACGGTTAATTTGTACTTGCGGTGATCACGGCACAATTACTTGATAGGACTGTGGATACAAGGTGTTGGGCCTAGTCGCAGAGGGAACTGTGCTGTACTTGAGTGCACGTTAACGGGGGAAACACACTCCCCACCTTGTCTTGCCTACAAAACACTAACTTCCAATATTTACCTGACCAGCGGCAAAGAATGGGCATTTCCCCCCCTTCCGACTCAGAGTTTAACGCCAAAATTCATATAAGTAGTCAAATGTCAGGCTACAGGGTTTGTTCTATAAGAGCTGACGGTCTGAGTTCTGAAGGGTGTCAAATCCGCGTCAAGACTGCCAATTTGCATGGGATTTTGGATGCCAACGAAGGGGGCAACTTCATGTATTTGTACCACTATTTGGGACTGTCAATGGGGATTGGGGAATTCGTAATGTTAAACTCCCTATGGACCCGCCTCTTATTGCCAGGGTTTGGAGGACAGGAATTGTTGTGGTTGTTTCTGGTGGCTAATCGGGAATCGCAATTTTGCACAGGAAACCAGGACGCGTTTCTTTTGTACTAAGATCGTATGATACCAGCAGGGTCGGCTGATTTGATACCGCAGTGCTCTGAATACCCGTTTGCCAACAAAGTGGGAGTGAGAGCGTTTAGTTTGATAGAATATAGACTTGCTGGAAAGGTAAAAATCGTCTTTACGGAATATTGGTCTATTCCAGTATGATCAACAGGCATGGCTGGATATAAACATATAAAATCATTTAATGGAAACACTAAGACGCATGCCATTTCATAACCACTACTTCCCCTTATCAATAGTGGCAACTGCTTTAATCTCCCGGCCTCCCAGGAATTCTAAGCCCTCACCGCCCTTTTATAACAGTTAGGTCGAATTGCGTGAAAGTTAGGGGTGAGAAAACATACATAACTAACGAGAGGTGAAATTTCAACACCGGACTCTGCCTCCGTGCTTGCGATAATGGCACCGGCGGACTTGGCCCATTTCGTACCCTGGTTTAGGACGTCTCTGCGGGAGGTGTCCGGGTCGTCTTCACCGGTGCCCCTAGCGTTCTTCAGGGGCGAGAATTCATCCTCGCGTCCAACCTCCAAACAGGCAAACTTATCCAGAGGGATACGAGGGAAGATATCGAAAACAAACTGCTCGAGCTTGATGCCGTTCGGCTTTTCAGGCTTCTTCTGCTCTCCTGAGTCGGTATCGAAGTAGGGAATTTTCTTACGGGCAATGTGATGCGGCAGTGCAGTGACCCATTCAGGAATGGTCTCTAAGAAGCGGGTGGAGTAGTAGTGGTTGACAATATTGGCAGCACGGAATTTGAGAATGTCCTTGTTCTTCTCATCCCTTGCTTCGGCGGTCTTGCTGTCAATTTCTGAGTATTCGACGACATCTGGCCTGCCATTTTTGAGAATGATGAGGCCGACCGACTCGGTAGCATTGCGCTTGCGCACTACCTTGGTTGCAAGGTCCACATTTTTTGAGGCGGAGAAGCCAATGAATACAGGGTCGGCAACCTTGACGAGGGAATTGTCGACACAGTAGGCATGGACGTGCTTGATTCCTCGAGTTTTCAGGTCGGCAAGAACACCTGATGCAATTAAGGCTTGGTAGATACCGCCATTTCCATCGGGAGCGACTGCAACCTAGTGCTTATTAGTGATTAAAGCACATGGTAAGTATTACTTGTGGCAAACCTTGGATTTGGATTCTAGGATAATCTTTCCCTCGTTGGAAATGCAAGGCAGAACACCCTGTTCGAAAAAGGTTACGTTTTCCTTTGACAGACCAAAAAAGGCATTCTCTTGGAAGAAATTTTCGGTAGGTCCCCTTGTAGGGCCGCTAGTCATGATGTACCAGGGAACCACAGCCTTCGCATTTCCGGTTTTCTTCGCCCCGAGTTCTTGCACTTTATAGATCCTCTCAGCCTGAAGCTGGAAGAGGGACTTCCTGGAGGGAAGGCCGACGTCAAAACACCCTTTGGGAGCACTGGAGCCCAACCTGGTTCCTTGACCACCTGCGGTGTATTTAATATATTTCTGGGGCGATGGATATGGTTGTATGATGATTCCTCACCTGCCATAAGGACAACCGCCACCTCATTCTGGCCTATCAATTTGAGACCGTTCTCGTACCAGCCATTGATATCGGATGCAGCACTATCCAAAATGGAAGCCGTGGCATCCTCTGGAAGAGGTTCGACTTTGGGAGCTTCGGCTGGCGGGGGAGGTGAGAGGGCTTCTTTGGTTATGACCTAGTTGAGATTATCGTCAGTACTTAATGAGATTGAAGGGCCGTGTTTTGTTCAATTGCGGTTTGACATGATATTTTGGGATCGGATACACGAAAACGACGCGGTAACAAAAACGGTCGTCGTAGTGGCAAAACTTACAGAGATCCTTTGGGTATCCATGCGAGACAACTGCTCGAAGAGAGCTGCTTTCTCAGGCGTGCTCAAATCATCGTAGAACGTAAAGACGTGGCCCTGGCTGATACTCTCAAACTTTGCCTTTAGACCTTCGACAGCTTCCGGGGATGGCTCCGTAGCATTTGAACCAAGGGAGAGCTTATTGAGAACATTTCCAACGCCTAACCCGACTGTTGCTGCCATGATCTGAACTATTGACGGATTTGATCGACTTTACCTGAGTAGGGAAGAAGAAAAGGACTTTTTATGGGGAGGATAGATGATGAATGCCTTTAATGAATAAATGAGGGAGGGAGGAAAGAAATAGGAAGATCAGATCATGATAGCGTACGGGAAGAAGCTAGATTTATGAAGGTACGACTAGTCGTAAGTCCCACATAATACAAGTACCCCTCCCGCCATCCCCTTCAAGGGTTTTTCTTCTTTAGTCATGGACGGGAAGTCAATGCATGAGGCACGGATACCCCGCAGGACCAGCTGAAGTGGCTGAAGGTGGGGCACTCCTACTATAACCCTTCACCAGTTCAAGGCTGATGGGAGACTTTAGACCAGTAGACCCCAGTGTTTTTTTGTTTTTTTTGGAAAGAAAAATCCGACCCAGTAATAGTCCAAGACCCTACCACGGGCAATAGATTCGATCCCTGTGGTCTGAGGATAAAAGGAAAAAAGATGGTTTACACAAAGAAGGAAAAGCAGTGATACTGGTACCTGAGAGGTGGTAAAGAACCAGTGGGATTGACAGGTAGGTCTGTGTTGCATGCCACCGTAGAACACAATACTAGTACTCAAGTAGCAACAGAATCCCTCAGCCACTCAACAGCGCTTGCCAATTGCCGGCATGTACAAGTACTTGTACTGGTACTCTACATTACGGTACTGTACTCGTACCTGTATCCCCAATTCTGGCTCTTACAGTATCTCACACTTTGCTCGGGAGACCGGATGTCTTATAACATGGTGTCACCAGAATCGACCGCGTTCCCTGTCTTAGTGTATGGGAATTCTAATACCGGTACTTGCATGATGGATTCTCTCAGCGTCTTGCAGAGATCGTTGCTCGCAAAAAGGTTACAACATGACATGCGGGCGAGCTCTGGGAGCTTCGGCCAAGCTCTAGCTACAGTACATATTACCCGCCTTTCAAGCTTCACCCAAGATTTTGACTCCTAATACTATTATTATATACCGTCCGAGAGCTGCCGGTGCTGTAGAGTTCTCCCCTTTCCTAGGGCTACCGGAAAGGCAAGCCCACTCTCAATCCTGAGGGTTCTGGAATGTCCAGGTAGTTAGGGTAATCCTTTCCGCAGGGGCGCAGTAAGATTGGAAGAGTGTTTTGGTCGATCTATGATACCGTACTGTATTTCTTACTGTGGTCGAGGGCATGGCTTATGTAAGTTAAAGTAGACTTGTTGTGCTGGGGATGTCGAAACGCGTTCCCAGTGCCGTGGACAAGAGCCCCATCAACCCCTCCCCCATGCCGTGCATACTGTACTGTAACATTCCTACTTTCTTACCCGCCCTCTCCCTACTGTGCATCGTACTTCTCGCCTTTGCTCCCTACGACTTTTTGTGAGAATACTGGTGCTATTCCGGGGAAATGTTTGCGTCGAACGGGGGGTTTCCCACTCACGGAGGTGTGCCGGTGGATCCCTTGGATTCCGGTATCGTAGCTCCCCCACCATTGAAACCTCCGACAAGTCAATTGAAGCTATTTTGCTGACGAACAGTCAATTCTAAAGCTGATTATGACCCAATAATTCATCTCAATACTCTATTCTCACACCCTTCTACATTATCTGCTGTGCCTTCAACCTCCCATGCATTGCGCAACCACCTCGATTCGCTAGATAATGAAATCACACAGCTGGTTATAACCCAATCTACCACAAATGCGGACTCTCTTGCCCGAATCTCCTCCGCGAAGGTAGAACTAGCTGGCCTCCTGGAGAATGTCGATACTGTTCGCGAGAGGGCTATCAGGACTGAAGATGCCATTGCTGCTATGACCGCCGATATCAAGAAGCTAGATTCGACGAAACGGAATTTGACACTATCCATGACAGTCCTCAAGAGGCTGCAGATGTTGAGTGGGTGCCTCCCGTGATACCCGGTTTGAGGGATAGCTTTTATTGACCCTAGACACGCCGTAGCAACGGCTTACGAGCAAATGAAGACTCAGTCCAAAAATCGACAATACCGGGAATGTGCCTCTCTCATGTCTGCGGTCCTAGAGCTTATGGCACATTTCCGTTCATTCCGGTCTATCGATCAGATTGCTACACTTAGTCGAAACGTTGCAGATCTCAAGGCAGAGCTTCTGGAGCAAGTTTGTGAAGATTTCGAGATGGCATTCGTCAAGGGGGAGGTCTCAACCAGAAAGGGAATGCTGTCTGAGGCATGCACCGTCATGGATGCGCTTGGAGATGGGGCAAGAGCTAGGCTTGTGACATGGTATTGTAATACACAATTGAGAGAATACCGTCAAGTCTTTAGGGGTAATGATGAAGCTGGCTCACTCGACAACATATCCCGGAGGTATGCGTGGCTCAAGCGGATATTGAAGGTGTACGACGACGAACATACTGGCATATTTCCCCCCTCATGGAAGGTTGATGAGATGTTGGTAAAGAGCTTCTGTGATGGTACCAGGGACGACTTTAAAGGAATATTACAGCGAGCCTTACGGAAGGAAGGCGGAAAGAGCCTAGATGTAAATCTGTTACTTAAATGTCTGCAAGAGACGCTGGACTTCGAGCATTACCTCGAAAGGAGATTTAGTGCAGATGTGAGTAGGAAAAATATTATGCTGAATAAATTCTCCGCACATCAATTATCCGGGCTAACGTTTTGAGTCAACTAGAGAATGTCAATTGATACCGTGAGCTCAAGAGACGAAAGACCATTGATTTTCGGAAAGGCAATATCAGAGGCCTTTGAGCCATATTTATCCTTATGGGTAGATGACCTTGATAGGTAGGTATAATCTATGCCGGCCCCACCACCGAATTTACGGCTGACTTGTAGGTTCGTAAAGACAGCTCTCTGCTATGATACCAAAGTACCGGATCCAGCCTCTCCGATCCGGGGACGAAGACTTCACTCCTTCTTCATCCGTCTTGCCATCCTCAATCGAGCTGTTTCATTTCTACCGCCTTTCGTTGGCACAGTGTGCCAAACTCTCCACAGGATCTAAGCTTCTTGATTTGTCGAAGATATTTGCCAAACATCTCGACCAGTATGCTGAAGCTGTGTTGCTTAGGTACTTTTCCCCTATGGAAAAGGCGGGAGCACTAGCGGGGGAGGATATCGTAGTTGTGTTGAACACAGCAGACTATGCTCATGCAACTACTCAGCAGCTGGAGGGCAAGGTCAAGTCGAAAGTTGATCCTGAATTCTCTTTTAAGGTTGATTTCGAGAAGCAGCAGGATGCCTTATTGGGGGTTGTGACATCCGCAATCCGATTACTTGTTAGAAAGGTAGAAGTTGTTGCAGAGCCAGCCTGGAGAGAGATGAGGAATACACCTTGGAGTAGGCTAGAGGCTGTGGGCGACCAGAGTGGCTATGTCAATGTTCTCTTAAGTAGCGTTAAAGAAACTGTTGGGGGAATACTAGCATTGACAGGGAAGGAGACATATCAGAGGGCATTTTGTGATAAAGTTGTTGAAGCTATGGCTACTGGGTTTTTGGGTAGTCTTGTCGCCTGCAGGCCTATTGGCGGTGTAGGAGCTGAACAGGTTAGTATCTGTCCCATTATCTATCATGCTTTCGGGGAGCTATATCTTTGGACCATTGAATTGGGCTGACAGCTTGCACCCTAAATCTAGATGCTCCTTGATGCATATGTTATGAGGAAAGGATTTGAAGATCTGTTCACCCTTAAGGCTGAACCAGGCACTGCGCCCCCAGTAAGGTACGTCTTTCTCACGTCGCAATGGCATCTCACTCTCTACAATGCATCACTGACTCTCCTCCCTTAGTTATATCAAGCACGTTCAACGCTCCATGTCAAAAATAGATACCCTTCTAAAAACCCTCCAAGTTCAATCCTCACCACCAGAATGCCTGGTACAAGCATACCTAATCCACGTCTGCGACAAATCCGACACCAACTTCCGCAAAATCCTAGATCTCAAGGGAATTCGCAGGCAAGACCAAGCTTCGTTCGTCGAGTTATTCCGGGCACACATGGTTACTCACGATAATTTAGTAGAGGCAAATCCGTTTCTTTCCACGCTTCCTGTTCCGTCCGGCAGTATCGGTGCTCCGGGCGGAGCTGGTGGTATGGGAGGCGTGGGTGGTAGTGGTATGATTGGCAGTAGTAGTGTTGGTGGACTAGCTAGTGGCGTCGGTGGCCTCTCTGGGCCTTCCGGATTAGTGCCGGCAAGGTTTGATCCCGCAAGTTTGGGATCTGCAATCATGAATGCCGCTAGAGATGGTGTGGACAGGCTACAAACCCCTGTATCCACATCCTCTGATGGGGGCAATGGTGGACAGAATCAGATTGAGTCTGGGGAGCGAATATTTGAGAGGCATCTTGGAAGGCTATTCAAGCGCGACGGGAGTGGGATTGGAATGGGTGGGAGGTTTACAAGAGATGGGGGCTAAAGCGCCCCATGACAGTGAATTGTCGACTCTTTGTGTAACATTGTTTCTGAACCGAGACGAAGGGCGAAAACGAAACCTTGATACATTTTCTCATTTTTGTTTTATACATATTTACCTTGGAGTAATCCATCTGCCCTTTAATCACCACCCTGACCGATCGATACCCTACCATTCCCCTTCCCCGTCCATCTCGACATCTTCGCTAGAGCCACCTACATCTCCGTCCTCAATGAACATCTTCTCATTCACATCCTTCTTAACTAGCGAGGTAGAAAGTAAGAACTCGAGCGTATAAACATTCTCATCCGCCCTATGGAAATAGCAACCCCCATTAGAAATCCACCCAGCCATCCAGGTCACCACAGCCACGAAAAAAGGGGGGAGGCACTCACAATCTCGCTAATTCATTCTGGATCCTTTGAACACATTTCACAACCCCCCTAATCTCCGTCTCAAACTCGCCCCTCTCCTCCCGAATGTACTTCCCATGCCGACTAATCACTGCTTCCAACCACAACAAGGAAAACTCCAGATGAGGCCCCTCCTCCGACATCTCCGTTACAAAGTGTATCAGCTTGCTCAGGTATACCAATGGCAAGTCCCTAACCACAAGCATGATATCCTGCTGCGGTATCGCCTCATAGACTTGGTGAATGAGGTACCGCTCGTTAAGCCTGAAAGCCATCACCAGCGCTTTCAAGTAGTCCCCCTTGTCACGGAGTGTGGAGAGAGTGGCAGCTGGGGTAACGTCAACGTCTAGATCGAAGGGGTCAAATATTAGTACGTGATCGAGAGAGTATATTAGCAGTCCTTCAGTAGAGGCCGCGGCGAAAGAGCGGCCGGTTGGCGAGAAGGAGAGGCCTGTTACGCGGACTTCCGGACGGGCTTTACGCACCGACATGTCACCCCGGGAAGCGCCAGGGAGGGATCTGTCGATGCGGTCTTCCAGGTCGGAGGCTTCCCCAGCGTCATCGAGGAGGTCTATTGGCCCTGCTTCCGTGAGCAGTTTCGAATTGAGATATTCCTGGGTACCGTCGATGGAGAGGTTTACTGATACCGTGAACTTCAGGACAAGTGTGCCAGAAGCTATGTCATAGAGGCAAATGTACTTGCTATTCCCTGCCGCAAGGATGCAGGTTCCGTCGGCGGAGTAATTTATTGTGGTGAAGTGCTTGCTACCAGGGGCGTTCGCAGCGGTGGTTCGATCTATCGCTCGACGCCCGCCGGAGATGTCCTTCCGTCCGTCGATATTGCTTGTTTGCTCTGCGTTCTCCACGTCCCAGAATGTGATTTGGCCGTCTAGCGTGCTCACCGCGAGTCGTCGGGAGTCTGGGCGAAATGATACGCGCAGGACGTCGGATTGGAGTTGGAGGGGCTCGCTGGTCTGGGTTCTTGTGAAGAGGCTCCAGATTCGAACTGTGTTGTCCCAACTTCCAGATGCGAGGAATCGGCCGTCAGGGGCGAAGCTTAGTGATGCTATGGGTCCCTCGTGGCCCGAGAGCTCCTCAAGTAATTGTCCGGTTTGTACGTTCCAGACGTGGATGTCAAAGTTGTCTAGACTGCCCGCACACACGATTTCACCGCTAGGGTCGGCCGCAAGTGTAGAGAATTGCAGCCTGCTGGTGGCTGCGAAGGTTCGGAAGTTGCGATACCGGACCAGATCCCAAGCCCGGACACTACCGTCTAGGGATGCGGTGAATAAGACGTTTCCCCGCTTCGCGAACTCGCAGGCTGTCACACCGGAAGTGTGCTCTGTAAAGGTTACTATGCAGAAGCCGGATGCAGCGTCCCAGACCTTGACCTTGCCGTCGTCCGCGGTGGTGATTATGCGTTGGCCGTCTGGTGAGTATGCTAATGAGTTCATGGCATCGAAGTGGCCTTGCTGCTTCAAGATGTATGACTCTGATTGCCATTCCCAGACTAGGAGTTGGCCCAGCTTTGACGCTCCGAATGCAAGCCACTCGCCGGTTCTGTTGACTGTGACGAAGTCTATTCCGTGTTGTGAGATACTGGAGGTTGCTTGAGTCAGTTTGATAATCCATGATTAAGTCGTAGGCTCGAGACGAACCTTAGGGTGTGTATCATATTAAACTCCGGCATCTCATATAATCCAAATATGCCTGAAGAGAATCCCACCACCAATAGATTCGAGTCTCGATGGAACGTAGCACAATTTACCTTGGCATGGTGTTGTAAAAAGTAGTGTTTTTGAGATATTCTCCATCGCTCGTCTTTTGGTCTACCCCCATACTTCATTTCCTCATTATCATCATTATCGTCCTCTTTGTAACGTGCCCGCCATTTCCACTCAAATAATGCGCCATCCTTGCTGACGGTATATATCTAACCAACGATAACCGCAAAGACATTAGCAAATACGCCCTAGCACAGCGTTCATAGTATGGCAGCCATACCGACTCCTGATCCTTCGAAATATAGGCCCCAATAACCGAGTCTCTATGCCCTGCCAAACTAGTCGGCACAAACCCCTCTACTGGATCCAATGAATACACCTTCGCCGTCAAGTCCTTCGAAGCCGTCAAGAAAAACCTCGAATCCCCAGACCAAGTGATATTATTAATAGTATCGTAATGCCCCGTGTATTCCCTGTGCTTAATAAATGGTGCAAACTCCCTCTCCTCCATGTATGACGGAGTCCGCCAGACCTCAATCTTCCGCCCCGCAGCTACGGCAAAGTGGCTTCCGTCCGGCGAGAACTTAACGTCGTGAACGGCCGACCTAAAGTTGAAGTGGTGTAGGACGGTGCGCCGAGAGAAGTTTGTGAGGATTGCTCGCCCGTCTTGGTCAATTGAGAGTAGTAGTGTTCCCTGCGGCGAGAGTGCTATCCGGGCAATGTTCTTGCGGTGCTCGAAGCTAAAAGTGAAAGACTTATTGCTAAGGATCCAGACATCAATCCCTGCCCTACAATCCACAAAAACAGAGTAATGGGCCATACCTCACTAAGTCAAAGCAAGTAACCCTATTTCCTACCGGCGATAATAGTGAATTCCCATCTGGAGTAAAAGCAAGGTTTCCGCGACAGTAGACTGTCCCCAGCAGATTTGAAAACTGTTCAATTTTAGGTCAAAGTGCGCGGAAACTTATGGGGCGGCCAGGAATACATGCATTGAATCCGACTTTCATCCTTGGTAGGGATAATGGCAGCGTATGGGTGGGTGGTGAAGTAACAGACGTGGAAGCTCCAGAATATCAATTTTTTTTATTGAGGCTCTGTGGGCGCTTTTAAATGCCGGGTAACTTTTATGTTTTTGGCCTCACTAAAATTATAGAACGTAATTTCGACAATATTTGCCGATGTCAAAATCTTGATTCACCTTTATCATTTCTAGCACTGTACGAATTTCACCAAAATAAGGCACTAAAGAGACAATTTCATATCTCGAGTGTCACATTGTGAAAAGACTCATACTTGACTGAAACTGGCCCTGCTATACCAAGACTTACATGAGATCTCATTGGAGTTTACATTACTATGTGGCTCACTGGCTCCCACCATTCCCATGCTTTCTCAGGAGGGAATGTATGGTATATTGGGGCGGAGATGACTGGGAGATACAGCCCAGGAACGGCGTGTTTAACTCCGTGAATGCTGTAGTCACCTTGGCACCAACATATTTATAGTGAGAACACTCTCAAACACCCTTAGAACGCATCGCAACATCCATTAAGCCCCATCAGACTGCTTCTCCTTTATGTTCTATGCTGGAGGTGTGTCATGGAACACCACTAATATGAAGCGGGGGTCTGCAAACAATTGGAACATGTCAGACACGCCGTACTCTACTAATCTAGAGTAGAGTACATATGGCTTACCGGGCACTATTACCAACTCATGTCTCTTAGTCCTAATGCGTAATAATCTCAAGTCGTCCTGTGCACTAATTAACGGAGCACGTGCTGAAACGGGTGTCTCCCCAATGTTTACCTGCTCATCCATACCACAAACCATTTCTTCTGCGCTTTTAACAAAGTTCCACACCATCCCAGCATATTCTCCAACTAAACTCTCCGAGTCCCGGTGGGCAGCTATGGACCCTGACGACCGAATAATAGCGCCAGAAGAGCGGTCGAGGATAATGAGAGACTGAACAGTATTTTTCTGGGAGATACGATTCAGAAGCGAGGTGAGGTCGTCCTCACTAAGCGTTGGAACTGCGGTCGTCATAATTGTAGGCGGAAGTAAGTAAATTAGGGGGTGTGTTGAGCGACGGAGGTGTTTTTGTCTAGGAGTTTTCGTCCTACACTAGCTTAGGTAACATGGTCATGTGATGTCCCCCATTCAAAGATTCGTTGAAGCTCCCCGCGCCTCCTCCAAGCCATCATATATCCATAAACACTCTTACTAACTTTATCCCAAGTTCACGCTACAGCTGAGAATTATTCCGATGGCTTCTCAAGATCCTTTCGATTCCGCACTGTGAGTTTTATTCCGTCAGAATCCTAACCATTTTGCTTTGTTGACCCAGAGGCAGCGACCTTCTCCGCCGTCTTAATCCGAAATATACGGCAAACAATGTCAATGCTCTTATCAATCTTGTCCCAGACTTGACCGAAGACCTCTTGTCATCCGTAGATCAGCCCCTTCAGGTCCAACGCTGTAAGAAGACTGGGAGGGACTATCTTCTTTGTGACTACAATCGTGATGGAGATTCTTACAGATCCCCATGGAGCAACGAATTTGACCCCCCTCTCACAGACGGTACTCTACCTAGTGAAAGGGTTAGAGGGATTGAAATTGCTGCTAACGATGCCTTCGACATTTACCGGGAACTGTGAGTCTATTTTGAGATACAACGGTAGCTTCCCGAAGCTAATCTGTCGAGCTACACCGTAGGTATTATGAAGGTGGTGTTTCAAGTGTCTACTTCTGGAACCTTGACGACGGGTTTGCCGGTGTAGTTTTGCTCAAAAAATGCATGTACCAATCCTGTTTTCTAATTTTTATTCTGGGCTAATTTTTAGGTAGTTGTTTCATCTGCCAATGAATCAACTGGTTCTTGGGATTCAATTCACGTTTTTGAAGCTACCGACAGGGCCCGAATCTCCCATTACAAGCTCACTTCTACGGTTATCTTGAATATGATTAATGGAGACGAATCCCTAGGGGAGATGGATTTGAGTGGAAACATGACTCGGCAGGTTGAACAAGATATGCCTGTTGGAGACGATTCTTCGCATATTGCCAACATCGGAAAGGTATGCCCTGGCGCCTCAGTTGCAGCTCGTTAAGAAGTTGCTGTTAACTCGCGGAAATAGTTGGTCGAGGATATGGAGTTGAAGATGAGGAACCTACTCCGTAAGCCCTCTACTTCCGATACATATGGTTCACGTGCCACTAATAACATTGGTATGAATAGAGGAAGTTTACTTTGGAAAAGCGAAGGATGTAGTTGGCGATTTAAGGAGTATGATTTCCTCTCCATTCACCTGCACAGTATGGATGCTGATAATGTAAACCTGCCAGGTATTTCGTCCTTGACCCAGCAGGAGAAGGACAGGTCCATGCACCAGGAAATGATTTCTTCCATGAGCAAGCGATAAGGGATATGTATATCCCACAGCACGGACCGTGCATCGTTTCCCATAGAAATACCCAACAAAATAGCCTCTTCTCACAAAGATGCAATACGAAGAAATGATAACACTTCCGCTTTGAATAAAAAAGAAACCTTTCTCCTATAAGGAACATACCATTTTGGCTAATACCTATTAATCCCATTCAATATATATATACACAACCTTAGTCCTATCACGCTTTTACGATACAATGCCCTATCCTTACCACCTAGTTAAATTCAACAGGTATCTATCTCACTGCTAATATTTGCCGCAACCATTCCCTACGCTAGATAATGTGGAAACAGGCCGAGAAAAGGGAGGTTGGGGGCCTGCGACTCTATTGTGAGGGTATGTACTAGGGGAGGATAGATAAGATTATCGGAAATTCCCATCAAATGGCAAACCCATTGCTTTGAGTAAAATCTTAGCATCGACGTCGTTTCCGGCCGAAGTATGTATAGTAATATTCAATCCGGGTACCATTCTTGGGGGGTACATATCGTAATTCACTATAACGACCATTGTCAGCCCACCCTACTATCCCCCCGACCCCCCAGCCCGTTAGGGGAAAAGAGGAGGGATCCCACCTTCAATCTCAGGAAACATCGACACGGCCTCCGGCGACATCCCAAACGTAATATTCCCACTCGAATCCCCCGAACCCCCAGCAACCCCCTTCCAATCCTTAGTCCTGGGCAACACGACATCAATCAACTGGGCGAGAAACCTATACGCGCTCCTCCCCTTGACCTGCGCGGTGACGGAAATCCACTTCCCGGCACGCAATTCCCACATAGAGATGTTCTCCCTACTCTTGTGCACGGTCGCCCTAACGCCCGTGATGCTCTGCACAACCATTCCAGCCGCATGCAAGTAGGCGGAATCCTTCAGTGCCCCGCGGACCATAGAGTGCACGGTGATTCCCATCAACCGCGGAATATTCCGAAAGGTGCGCAGCGCGGGGAGTTGTTGACGGGTGGGCTTCGGCGGGAGACGCAATGCCGTGAGCTGTCGGTAGTCCTTTTCTATGTTGAAAGTCGGGTTCTGTTTGTGCACGTACGAGAGGACTTGTAAGTCGGGGGCTATGGTGTTCCAGTAGTGGTCTTCGAGTCCTGCGGTATTCTGCTTTTCAGTAGTTGGGGAGGATAGTGGGGTGAGGTGGATTGGTACGTTCTGCGGCGAAAGGCCCTGGTACGAATAACCTGGACGAGGGAGAGGCCGACGGTGGCGGCATGTTCGGGGCCAAGCGACCGCGGTAGTACCGTGGTGAGCGGTACTGGTACTTCGCGCGGGTGCGTGGTCCCCCCTTTGACGGGGAGGATGCGGAGATCTTTTCCCCCGGGGGTACTCGGGCCAGGGCGGGTTTTGTCGTGCTGAGCTTGAGTGATTGCTGGTGGAAGGCGTTTCCTGGTATGAGGAGGAGGCGGTGGTGGGTGTTTGGCGCCCACAGGAAGCTCGGGGGGGTTCGGTGGGCCATTGCTATTTGTTGCGTTTCCCACGGATTGGTACAATGATTGGGTTGGTTGGTGGGATCTGTTTACGGTGGGGCAGACTTGAGGTGGGAGAAATTTTTAGATTATGTAATGTTTTCAATGGTGAGTTTCATCGGCGATCACTCGGGTGTTACGGTGTTTGGATTTTGGGGTATGATAGTCTCTTTTCTCGGTTCGGGTGCTGGAATGATTGGGAAAGCATCCTAGACTGGATGGAGAATGATATTCGTGTAGTGTATGTAGGAGAAGTGGCAAAATGCAAGAGCTAGTACTAGTAACTTAAGCAAACAAACTAAACAGGGTATCATCTCTATGTATATAACACCACCGCTCAAACACGGCCTTGGGGAGTATATATGCGCCAGACGCACAGAAAAGCAATTGGATACCGGATATACAATCCCCCAACAAACCTCTATCGTAGCTGATAGCCCCTGAAAGTCTCTCGCACTTGAAGAAACTAGTATTAGTATAACCTTCATAAACGCTGTAACAAAAATTAGAAAATAGGGAGTACCAGAACATGTTTCCCATCCGCGCCATGATCACGGGGTAATGTCTATCAACCTGGTAGCGTCCGGCTTCTCTTCAGATGTCGTATCTCTAGATCTATCAAGCATGGCCTGGGCCGCAGGCGTACCCGCCGCAAAAGGCCGGGCATCACCGGGGCCAGGAGATCCCGGGGAGCACATACTGAATGCATGAGTTGATGTAGGCGTTAGGGGGACGGGCAATGGTTCCCCGACGCTTTGGGGGTTTTTTGCCTCTGTTTTTCTAGGCGGCGAGGTGGTAGCTTCCTCTTTAGCTATCACCACATAATCTTCCTTTGCTTCCTCGTCATCACCAGGTTCTGGCTTCGGTGTTGGGTGAAGGTTAAACGCGGTTTTGTAGTCATCCCATAGCTTCTCAACAGGGATTCCACCCGAAATAGTCATCCACAGCTCTGGGGTATATTTAGAATGCTTCATCGAAAGGTTGACCCGCTTAACCGTGTCATTCCCAAATCTTGAACACAGGTAGTCCAGAAAGTAAGCTGTTGTTTCATACCTTCTTGTTCATTAATTCCCACCTACTTCATTTGCTTCAAGAGGTAACACTCACCCGGCATCCCACCTATCACCCCTTCTTGTCCAGTGAGGTGGGCCGAGCCTCGCCTTCATCCTAACAAAGTCGGATATCCCCTCGATCAACCCACCCGGTGCGGTTCCACAAGCATCGTATTGCCAGCAATGCACCATCTCATGCCTTACCACTCCTAGGATCTCATTTTGCGTACGGTCATCAGAAAGTTGACCAATGTAGTCGAGTGAAAAATAGATCTCCTTGCAGTCGTTATCTAGTTCGTTGCCGGTGGTATTTGCTATGCCATCCATTGACTGGAGGATCAGTGTTATTGAGCGCTGCCTTTATTGACTATGTCAGTTTGTATAAAGTGAAAGAACACTAAGAAATTGGAAAGTTTTGGAGCTAGGGGAGTACGTCGTGGGCGCTGTCTCGTGAGTGTATAGCGTCTCTAGAACACTGATTACGGCGTCGTGTAAGAGCTTTTGGGTGTTTGTGGTATTGAAGTACTTGGTAGCTCCTTCATGTGAGACATCTTTGACCATGAAGAGTAGCCGTGGAATGTGCCAGTGTTTAGGATGATGTGGTTTTCTAGTAGGGGCTCCAGCTGTCGGGCTCGCCGGCCGCGATAGGGCAGCGGACACTTGGACCAAGAGCGATGGCTGGCGTGTAGTTGTGGCTGCCATCGAGGAAGGCCGAGGTATTGAAGTTCAAAGAGTAGTGCAAGCCACCTGCTATGATGGTTGTATGCGTGAACGAGGACTCAGGGTGCAAGTCTTGGTATGGGTAGATACTGGATGGGTATTGTTGCTATTGAGAGGGGGTTGAGCAAAATCAAATATAAAACTTCCGGATGGCCTTCATCTGAAGGGGGGGGAATAGGCGGGCCAGTTGAAGCCCCTCCTCACAAGGGGTCCAGCCAAGAATTACCTTGATGCCACGATTGCATACAATTTATTTATGCCTGTCTCAGCACAGACTAATGCTAAATTTATCAATATCATATTCTCAGGCACCGAATTACTACTATATTTACCCAGTTTAAGCTTCCTCACAAAAACTTTTACGGTATTATGTATTAAATTAAATTAAATTAATTAAGATTAGCTTCCAAGAAGAACGGTGTAACAGTGTTACTGTATGTATCATAATACCGGTATGCTAACTAGGCACGAGCATACTTGTACGAGTACGGTACTATACAAGCAATCCTTTAGTCAAAGAGTTTGATGGATTAAAGCTTTAATGCCACTAGAAACATCACCTTGAAGAAACAATCACCTGCCAACTCTAATCTCCCCAATGCTAACACAAGAAAAAAAACTTACAGCATAAAAATAGCAAAGGTATAATAATATTATAATGACAATGTCTTAAGAAATCTTGATGGCAGACTGACTACTCTGGATCAGATTCCTCTACCACGAGGGCTAAAGCACAGAAATATAACCAAGACCCGTGAGGGACACAGCACAAAGGTTTGTAAAAAAAAAAATTTCACCCCAACAGAACGCCGGTAAAGCTATACCATGTAGAAACGAAAAAATTAAAATTAAAATTAAAATTAAAGAAAAGAAGGGGAAAAAGTAAAAGAAAAGAAAACCCGGTTAAAAATTGCCAGTCTACCTTATATATCTCGAAGCTTAAAGAAACCCCAAGGTGTATATGCTTAAGGTGAAAACGAGAGCCAGTGGTAGAGCCAGAAACGCAAATGAGACAACAAAATATGGGAAGTACTTAGGAGAAACAAGAAACGCAGACATCCCTCGGAACAGGCAATGGTAGTAAAATTACAAGGAACTCACTACTTACTATTCTAGTCCACTCAACTTTTCGTGTTTTTTTTTTCATTTTTTTTTTTTTCAGTAAATCAAGTACGAACCCCGAAGTGAGCGAACAGATAGAAAAACCAAGAGACCTTCTACCTGAGAGAGCAGCCGGATTAGGAGGTTATCAGATACCGCTTATATTTCTTCCACAAACAAGCTACGGTCACAATAGGTCAACTTCGGCTTAATTATAGCAGTAGAATAAAAGAATAACGTACCTCAAACTCTCAAATATAACTGGATTTTCGATCCAATGGTTTAAGAAACCGCCTGCAAGAATTCTTCTCAAGTGTTGAAGGCGATGAAGCTTCCACCACCTCTCTACCCTCAATAATCCCTTCTTGTGGATTCTAACCGTCATTCTTGAGCCACGAACTCTATTGTCCTTATCCAACGCTTCGGAGTAACGTGGGCCCTTCATGGGGTTCTCAACGCTATGTAGGATATCAACAAATGCCGAGTGCTGGGTCTTCTTATTCCTCTTGGAGAGATACTTTTTCGATCCGCTGGAGAGACTGCGAAGGGTATGAAGAAGATCGCCATGGCGAGGGTATGGTTTGTATTTTTGAACAAAGTTCTTTCCAAGGCCGGATTCTGAGTGGTCCTCAACAACCTCATCATCTTCTCCCTCGGCGTAGCTCTTTTCGTAGAGCAAGGCAATATTCTCGCCCGCAGCGATCTGGACCAAGATTTCGGAAGAATCCAACTGGTCAACGAGGGATGACATGGAGCGACGGGTAACCTCTTCAGCATCATCCAACTGGGTAGCAAGATTACCCCATTCTTCCAAGGCAGCAGCGACAATCCCTGCATCATCACCTGCGCCAATGTCATGACCATCGGACTCGACGATCTCCATAAAGAAGTCCATAATGAGCTCCGTCTCAGCAACGGAGGCTCCGCCGTAAAATACCACAGCTCCTAAAGCGTGGATCAAAGCATTTTTGAGCGGCAGGGATGCATGATCTCTGATAGCGCGCTTGAAATCTGGGGCCAGTTTGTCGAAAAGGGTATCCTCGGGATCCGTAACAATAGTAATCGCTAGTGCTGTAGAAAGATTGGATTAGCCCTGACCAAACGACTAAGCTTTGAGTAATTCCCGGAAGTTAGGTGAGACGGATGTTTGTTCACTCGTGGAATGACACATACCTTTCGCAGCAAGCAACGCTTCCTTCTCAGTCTTGCCCTGCTTGAGGCTCTTTACGAAGGCATCGAGGAGCTCAGACTTTTTGGAGAGTATCTCCTCCTTTGCATATTTGGCACATAGGATACGAACATAGGCTGTCAAAGATTCCTCTCTCCCAACGGAGCTCGACTTTTTGCGTTCGGTAATTTGATTTATTCTATCACCAAGTTCCTCCTGCCAGATGGTAGTGGTCTCATCGAGCTCGGCATCAATAGTAGCAAGCTCATCAACCGATCCAAGACTGTTTGTTTGTTTCGTTTGGGTTAGCTTCGGTCATCTGCAAAGGGGGGTGGGGTGCGGTGATGGGGGATAAGGCTAGGACATAAGTTACCTGAAGGTGGTTTCGTCGCTCAGGGAGCCCTCGTCATCGGTATTGGCCCTACTAGCAGCTCTAGAGTTGGCACGAGAAGTGTTGCGGGAATTCGCTCTGGATGAGGCTGCTGAGGACTGGCGGGAGGCAGCTTTGCGAGAGACGGTCTTTCCGCTCCCAAGAGCTTTTCGTCGTAGTTCCGACATTTCAGACAGCGGTAAGGTTGTTGAAAAGGTTTCCGGGTTCTGCTGTTGGCCGGCAGAGGGGAAGGGAGGAGGAGGGGTGGATGTTTTTTTCTTCCTAGAGCTTGCCCGTTGCAACAACCCCGTTGTGCTCCGTAGAAATGGGGTTTGGTGTGGTCGGAGGTATGATAGGCAGGTGCGAGGGGAAACGAGAGGCCGCGGAGGGTGTACCCCTAGTATGATAATATTATGTCATAATTATTATAACAGTACGACGCCGGTATTATTTATGGGCGGGGTAGAGGGTAAGTGGGCAAACTTAGAAAAAAAAAGTGGGTGTTGTAAGTTAAATTAATATATACCAGTGAGTGGAAAGAAGCCACTTTTCATTATTATTACCCGTATAATACAAGTATTGTTAACTTACGGTCTCTTCCGGCATTGCGAGATTCCGGAGACGCGAGAGTGGCTGCAGAAATGTGGAAGTATGCATAATCCTAAGACTACACTAAACCTATAACAGAACAGATGACCTCAAGACAAAAGTTTAAGTATGACAAATGATAGCGTAGGGTCCAAGTACCATAATATAGTGGTATAGTAGAGTAGATTGCAGTGACCATACTTTTGAGGGAAGTATTTTGAATTCCTATTCTACCATATCCCCTATCCTGCATTTTACTGGTATATAAAATGCCAGTTCTTTCAAAACCGCTGCAGCTTGCAGAAATCTTTAGTCTTGATGAAAGAAAACATATGGTGATAACCTGGATCAAGAGAGAACTGCATGATGGCCTTATTCCGAATCAGAAGATAATTACTGAAGCCCGTGGTATTGCATATTCGACCTTATGCCATGCAATCAGAGGTCGTGGAAGTAGGAAAGAGAGTATAGAAAAAAAGTGTAAGTTAACAGTAGGTGAGGAGAAAGCTATTCTGGATAGATGTAACTTGTTGAACTCATGGCTTCAGACTGCGCGACATGGAGTGGTAAGGGATATGGTACAAGGTTTGCTACAATTAAGAGAGCCTGAAGGAATTATTAGAATGCATTAGGTTTATAATTTTATTAAACGCCATGACCAGTTAGCGAGTACATTCAGTAAGAGGATCGAGAATTACCGTGCTGTTCAGGCAAATAATTCAATTGTAGTTAATATGTACTTTGATTGTGTAAGTTATTTTGATTTTATTTATAATATTTGTTTATGACTTAAAACTAATACAATTAATTAAGTTAACACAACTTATAAACTGCCATAATGTGCATCCTGAAAATCTATACAACTTCGATGAAATCAGATTTCTTATGGGTGCATGCCATTCAGAAAAAGTTATAGTTAATGTTAGAGAATTACAGCTTAATGGAGCATTAAGATCTTTTGGTATATCAACAAATATACATTAATATTTTCACTCTGCTAATATGTACAATAGATGGAAACTGAGAAATGGCAACAGTAATTGAAGCCATATGTGCTGATAGAGGAAATATTAGTCTAATGATTATCTACAAAGCAGAGGAATTCAGAGTTAGATAGTTCAATCCAACTCTATCTTTTCCAGGAGATGTTCTTTGCAGCCATTCTCCAAATGGAGAAAGAGATAATGAGATGGGATTGGGCTACCTAAAGCATCATTTTGGTTCAGAAAGCCTATCAGCAAAGAAAGCAAATGGCCAGTATTGGATAATTATATTTGATGGTCATGAATCTCACGTATCGCATGGATTCGTACAGTACTGCATTGATAATCGTATTATGACATTTTGTTTACCTCCACATTGTACAAATCACATTAACCCACTAGATGTTGGAATCTTCGGACTATACAAGAACTATTATGCTCAGGTTCTAGAAAAAGAATTTTGTTATAGACATTCTGAAGTATCAGAAGCCAACTTCCGGGAGTTTCTGTCACAGGTACGAGAAAAAGCTTTTACAGTACAAAATATTATGTTAGCTTTTACAACAACTGGCATCAACCCACTTGACAGATATACAGTACTTCAAAAGGTTCCTGCATATGACCCAGTAAAGTATACCGATCCTAAAGTCATGTACGATGATCCACCTAATCCGAAATTGAAGAAGCCAACATATCAGAGTCCCTTCCCTGTGCAGTCTATCTCATCCCAATCCCAACCAATTCATATCCTGGAATCTCAAGCTATCCCATTATCAACCAACAACTCAAGTCTCCTTCTTTGAAACTGAGCATGACGACTCCAAACCCCACGATTACGTACTCCATTACCTAGGATTCTAGCAACACCAACAACTCCAAACTCACTGAAATGATTAAGCGATAACCTATTCCAATTAGCTAGCAATCCCTTTCTTAGTCCATGCAAGATTTGAATCTATAAGTCCATGCTTAACAAGTTGATTCATTCTGCGCAGTTTGTCCATACAAAGATTCATCTGACTGAGAAGGCACGACTTTAGTAAAAATCTGAAGAACGGAAACAAAAACCTCATGACCAGTCATATGCAGGGAGGAAGATTCCCACCTCTAGACAAGCCTTTACGACAGCAGACAATCTATGACATTGCAGGAAAGATATTGTTAGTAAAGAGTATAAAAAGATACAACAAAAGAGAGTAAGACATTTAAAGCAAAAAAAAAGAACCTACAGGACTAGCTTCGAGAACTGAAACAAAAAATGGTAGAGAAAGAGCAGAATCTTCGATCTCCAATTATACTCAGCCATGAAGTCTTGCACTAGAAAATTGAGGAAGTTGGAGTCAAGATTAATGGAGTAGCGGATAAGATTGCCTTATTAGATAATATTTTAGCGGAGTTTGTTGGAGAAGGATTAGAGGTAACTGACGATAGTGATTTGGGTGAGAATGATGAGAAGGCCGATGGGTCCATGGACAGTAATGAGAGTATTGGGCATGTAGCTGAACATGATGGTCTGAATCAGACAATGATCAATTAGATTTTATTACCTTGTTAGCCTTTTTGTAAGGTATTAATTTGGACTTACTTTTTTCTTCTTTTATTTTTCTTCTTCTTCCATTTAATTACCTTCATGTCCACTAAGCAAGAGGAGGTGAAATGTGTTGTTACTTCAGATGTGTTGTCTTGTTGGTGTTGTTTGTGTTTGATGATGATGGTGTTGAGTGAAGAGAAGGTAGAGCACATATGCTGATAACTAACTAGTCCTGGCCGCCAAGAAAGTAAGTGGCAATACCACTCTTACGACTTGGGAATCTTGCAACGCTGGAAGAAACTGTACCGGCCATTTAAATTGCCCTTCTATTCTTCAGTGATCTATAGAGTCAGTCTACCTATGTCATGTCCTAATAGGTTTCCTTACCTGTACAGTACGAGTACGATTTCGGCATGAAAGGTTATGAGTAGTACCGAGGTATTAAATATCACATCCAGCATGACAACTGTGACTCCCACCACACCATTACCTACAATCTACCATGAATGGGAAACTCTAACTAGGACCAGAGTCCTGATAATGCTGGAATGTCGTATTTTACAGAGCAAGGCATCGGATCTTACTAGTGTTGCTCAACAAATAATAAGTCATTAGGCTATTACTTCAGCGCTTTGAGAAAATTAGCCGGTCTA